GCTATTTATTTATAAGACAGATCTGGATATATATACCTCAAACTATATATATCTATATATATATATTTATATATACACACACATGCATATACACATATATATCACATTCATACACTCATACACCGATGGGACACACATCTATATAAATTACCACCACTGACCAACTAAGAGCTTAACAGTATACAAAAAAAGGTTAAATCATGTCATCTGGACTGTTTCTTTTTTGGGAGAAACATTTTGTCTTTCATCCGAAAGACTTCATCAATCTGAGGCCTGCCAACCCAGATCTGTCTTATAAATAAATAGCCCTCATTGATGTGTTTTAAGCCACCCTCCCGCTGAATCACTAAAAACTGGTTTTAGCACATGCAAAACGGGACCATCCGTCTAAAACAATCAATCATCAGCATAACAATAAAATCTTTTAGGCCTGATGGCCAACTTGCTACTCACAGAAACAGCCTGAGGACACCATGGCCAAAATTATTCAAAAATAGATTTGTAAGCTCACGCATTCTTAATAGCTTAATAGTATAGTTTCCTCAAATAATTGGGGTAGCCCTCGTGGCGGCCAAAGATTATTCTGTGGTTGCCAGGGTCACCATTGACCATCCCCTTGATCCACCATTGCACCCTAAAATTGCACCTATTCGCTTGCAAGGATTCATCACTCTGCGCTGCCTCGGACAAACAAACAAAACAAAATCTACCTCCTTTTTATTCACAGTGTCACTCCTACACACTTGAATATCTTGCACAGAAACATTAAGGTTGACTTACATTCCCTGTTCAATTCCAGTCCAGAAAAACACCCAAAAACTAAACATTTGCTATTCAAAACCCTCAGTGACCGGGGAAATCGGTGTACCCCTAGTCTACTTTATTGGGCGATGGTAAATCAGTAAACATCATAAGTTTGATTTAAACAAACTTTATTCGACTGTGGACAACTTTTCAGTAGAAATCTCCTAAATCTGAATGTTTTCATGTGGAGGGAGAGAGTTATAAAAAAATAAAACATCATCGTCAAAGCCTGCATGTGATCCAGGAGGTTAGATGGTCAGGATTACAACATATTCTCATAGAACGAGTGTGAATAGATACGAGCTGCGTAGGTGTGTTCACTACTAAACTATTTCTTGTTTTGCGCTAAGGATGTCTGTGACTTTCCCTCCTTCAGCTGCGGGAGGAGTTTGATCGTGGCGTTGATGTCCAGCTGGACGAGGATCACAGCGTTCACGATGTAGCAGCTCTACTAAAGGAGTTCCTCAGGGACATGCCCGACCCTCTTCTAACCAAGGAGCTCTACACAGCTTTCATTAACACCACATGTGAGCTTCTGCTTCCTAAATGCTTCCTCTTATTTTTACCATTATCTCTGCAACATTTTTTATGTTATCCCCGTCTGCACTGCAGTGTTGGACCCGGACGAACAGCAGATCACCACTCAGCTCCTGATCTACCTGCTCCCAGCATGCAACAGTGACACATTTCACCGTCTGCTAGAGTTTCTGTACACCGTGGCTCATCACGCCCACGACCAGCAAACCAAAGACGGTCAGGAGGTGAGAGTCAAAACGCACAAAAATAATTTCACTATTAGTGCGTATATATTTAAAAGTAACATCACTGAAGAATATCAGTTTTGATTCTACCTTACTGAGTGAAAACCACTGCAATACTTGACAGGAAGATTTTTTTTGTCTGCTAGTAAAATATCCCATGAACCACTGGACAGACTTTATTAAAACTGCTTGAGACAACCGGTTGCTTATCATTTAGCACCAGCTGGCTGTAAAGTGCACAAAATCATTGCTCTAAAGGCCAACAATGAACATCCCTTAAGACATAGCCTGTACCAGATGGGTTTATAGCTCAAGCAGTGTAGGATATTGTTGAATAAACTCAACAGCAGAGTAAGTTACCAAGCAGATTGCAAAGAAAATAGTTTTCGAAACTACAGTGCACTAATACAAAGCAAATCTTTGTTAAGTCTTTCAAATAATAATAAATCCTGCTTCATCGCTAAAAGCATTAAATGAAGTTGAGTTTTAAATCAAATTTCCTGTGAAAAACATGAACTGTGCCAAAAGTAGTCACCTTCAGCTTCCCTCCCCCTACTTTTCATCTTACAACCTGATATTAAGAAATTAATTCTTCTGGTAACTATTTTTCTCAGCCCACTACTGCAAGAAGCTCTTGTACCACCAATACAAAAACACAACATACTGTATCCCACTGTATAACACCGTATCCCACTGTATAACACTGTATCCC